GAGACAAAGGCCCAGTTGGCTGCGCTGCCGGCTCGGGCTCGGGCTTGCGGCGCCGGCGGTCCGGGGGCGGCCCGGGGGGCGGGGCCTGCCGCCGCGGGGCGGTCCGGGGGCGGGGCCCGGCGCCCGGGGGCGGAGCGGACGGCCGCGAGGGCGGAGCGGGGCGGAGCGGGGCGGGGAGGGGCGGGCGGCCGGAGGGGTGGGGGGGGCCGCCCCGGGCCCCGCTCGCCGGGCCAGCCAACTTGGCTGGGACTCTGGCCCGGGACGGGGGCGCCCGCCAGGGACCCCAGGCCGGCACGAGCGGGCGCCACCCTCCACCGTGGGGCTGTCTGGGGGGGCGCCCGGGGAACCCTGCGTGGGGCCGGAGGCGGGGCCGGCCCGCGTGAGAGCCCGTGGGTCGCCCGGCCACGTTGCTGAGTCTCCAGTCGCGCTAGGCATGGCCCGGCCTGCCATTCCTGGGGACCAGGCGGAGAAACTTCGAGCAGGGCGGGAACTTGGCCGGGCAAGGGCACCCCTTTCTGTGCCAACTTGGAAAGGAGGAATTCACTGGTGATGGGGAGCCTATCAATCTTCACTGGAACTTTACCAGGCCGTCCGGCCCCTTGGGGAGCTAGTAACCAGGCAGGCACAAGTAAAAATCCATTCCGGACACAACTGAGGTTTGTGTGGAACACCCACGGGCTCCGGGGTCCTACAGTCTAGGACTTGAATCCATCCCTGCTCCTCACTGAGTAGCTATGTGACCTCGGGCAAGCCCAAAGGGAACTCAAAATGCATGGTCTCAAAGTATAGAGCTGGAAGCTGGTTGGCAGGACTGCATGGAAGGCGCGAGGAAGTACCTGGTACGGGACCTAGGTCTGTTTCCTAACTCTCCTCTTCCGGGGTCCTCAGGTGCAGGGGGAGCCTGCCACTACAGCCCACTTCCCTGCTCTGAGCTTGGATGGGCCCATGCAGAGAAAAAGAATGCTTGACCAGGGAGAGGCTCTGAGGACCTGAGTGAACTTGAGAAGGGCGGGGCAGGGTCAGTGGGCAGGCAGCTGGTGGCAGATGTGGGTGGGGGCACATCTGAGGAGCTGGGTCTGCCCTGGTGAACCACAGAGCCCACCCCCACCGTCTTTGAGGTGGTCCTAGGCGGTCCCTGTCCCTACCCCCGCCCTCCACCCCCTTCTCAGAGCCAAGAGAGGAACTTTTCTCTAAGCCAGTGTTTACCCAGTGACTGAATCCCTGTTCTCGCCTGGCCTGCTGTGTCTCACCTCTGCCCTCTTGAGTCACTCCTGAACCCCCACCCCAGACCTGACCCCTCAGCTCTCTTTCCTGGCCCACCTAGAACCTCTCCTCCCCCACTCCCCATCTGCATAGGTTCCTTAATCCCCTCTCTCAGCCTCTCACCCCAGCAAGTCCAGCAGGGCCCATCCAGTTGCTTCTCAGTCTTGATCCAAACTTGATCTTTACTTTTCCAAAAAGTAGGCACCAACGTAGCACATGGGATGTCTTCCTTTTCTGAAACTCCCCCAGCTCTGCCCCCTGCTGAGGAGCTCCTGGATGCTGGGTCCTACTGTGGCCAGAGTGAGGAGAAGGGTGGAGTTATTTGCTGTGTACAGGAGGAATGTCCACAGAAATTCCAGACTGCAGCCAATCATCTCACTCACTTGTTCATTCAAAATATCTTCATTGAGCAGCATTCCTTGACAGTCAGTGGGAGTTCTGGGGTTCCTTCATTCGGCAGATATTGCTAAGCACCTGCTGTGTACCAGTGCATCTGGCACTGTGCTAGGGGCTGGGGTTTATGAGTGAGCAAGAACAGTTCCTGTCTTTGCTTTCCCAGAACTGAGATGTGTAAACAGGCAGTTCCAATCCTGTAGGATTATAGAGTCTCCTCAGCAACCACATCGAGGTCTTCGGTGTGTCCCACCCCAGGCTGATGGTGGAGAGCTAGAAAGAGCTTGGACCCAAGAAGTCTGAATCCCAGCTCTGTCATTTTCGAGCCTGATCTGGGGCCATTTCTTCTTCCTGGGCCTCAGTTTCCACATCTGTAAAATGGGGTAAGAAGTTTATTGTACGTTTTCAATGACATCAGGTTCCTAGCCCAGTGCCCCAGCAAGCCTTGGGCTCCTGCTCACCCGCTGCCCTTTATCTTTTCTGCCCTTTGGTTCACATCCACAAGCCAATAGAGGACAGAAGAGGAAGGTAGGGTGGTCCTTAGGAAGCTCAAGACCTCACTGGGGGCAGGAGACAGAGAAGCAGTGGTCTGTGATTAAGTGTGGGAGTAATTTCAGTTCAGAGGAGGTGGCGAGGCTTGCTGGGGGTGGGGGCCAGGCCTGGGTGACTCAGTGCCTGCCTTGGCCTGCTGATCCCTTTTCTTCCTGCTGGGGCCTTAGCCCTTCCTTTCTTGGGGCCAGCCCTGCCAGGAGACAGGAATCTTGAGGGGGCTGCCATGATTACGGTGTTTTTCAGGGCTGAGGAGGGAAGTCACTGAGATACCTGTTTCCTGCCTTGGCTGGGTTTTCTCACTAGGGAGGCTGTGGGCGGATGGGAAATGGAGAAGCTGGAGGAGCCTCCCCTTTCCTCAGGGGCAGCGCTCCCTCAGCCCTCCCCTGGACATAACTGGCTGCCCTGCCCACCCCCATGGCCCCCAGTCCCCAGCCCTTCTTACTCCAGACCCGCTTGGGGGGGGGTGTGCTTGTGAGTGTGCCTTGGGGACTTCTGGAGGGAGGGCTACAGGCCAAAGAGGGAGGTGGAGGCTGGAAGGGGCAGAGGTGGACCCCCTCCCCATACACTAGGCCCAGCTTCCTATGTCTGGGGAGTAGCGGCCCCCACCTGGCTTGGCCCAGGCCTGTTCTCCGGCTGAGCACAGGCATGTTGGGATCTGTGGGTCTGAGGCGCAGCTGGGGAGAGGAGTGGAAGGAAGGTGGCAGAAGGTGACTGGGTTTAGGGCTTGGAGTGGTAGGGAGGGAGGTCCTGGGGTACCAGGCCAGATGATGACAAAATAATGTGGACGGTTCACATTTATTGAGTGCCAACTGTTTGCCAGGCACAAAGTTTCTCAACAAATTCTCACATGTCATTCCCCTGCTCAGATCCTCCCTTGCATTCCCCCTGTTGCTCACAATCAGACTCAAGCCCCTGACCTGATATGGCCCACAAGGCCCTTTGGGATCCGGCCTCCCCCGCTCCCTCTCAAATCTCTCCTCTTGCCATCTTTCCCCTTGCTCACTTCAGCTACACGGGTCTTTGTTTCTTGAAGATGCCAAACACACTCCCACCCCAGGGCCTTTGCATCTTCTGTTCCTTCTACCTAGAACGTTTGTCCCTCAAATATCTATGTGAACCTCTGCCTCCCTTCTTTTAAGTCCCTGACTACTCTGCCCAACATTCTCTGTCCCCTTAGACTGCTTTATTTTTTTCCTTCTTACTATCTGATAAGTATTCGTTTATTTATTTATCTCTCCCCTAACCGCCCCCCCCGAATTTAAGCTCCACAAGAGCAGGACCTTGTGTGTTTTTGTTCGCTGCTGCTGTATCTTTAGCATCTGGCAGGTAGTAAGTGCTCAGTCAACATTATCTGTTGAATGCATTAAGCCGTAGCTCCTGATATGGTCCCCATTCTCTAAGCAGAGGACATCCTGGGGATGCCTGTCCTGGCGGGAGCCTCGAAAGACCTAACTCCAGGGCAGCCATTTGTAGGATCACCTGTTTATTTGTAGGTTTGTTAATTTCCTCATCAAATATTCCCTGAGATCCTGTAGATGGTTGAATTAATCCCAGGGCTTTCAGTGGGGAGTAAGGGGGAAGAAAGGCTAGCCGCTGTGCTTAGAGCCCTCACTAGGTTCCCCTGGTTTTCCCCTGGGGGCTCAAGGTTTAGGGTGAGTCTGCAGAGGCTTCAAGGCTGCTTGGCCTTGTGGGGAGACTCCTCGGAGGGGGAGTAGGAGGGGCCGCCCAAGATGTGGAGAGATAGAGAGCCATGATTCAGAGGCTACTTGGAGGCCAGACCTGTAGGTTCTGGACCCTTCACAACTTGGGACGTGTGGGAAGGGCTCTCAGGTCTGGCCTGTGGCCCCCCTCCCCAGTCCATCCCAGCTGTGAGGGATCAGGCTAGGGAACGAATGGGTGAACTTGACTCCATCCCCCAGCAGCTTCCCAAAGATGTGACGAACACAGTGCCCGCTCCTCCCAGGGCCCACCCTGGCCTTGCCCCCATCTCCCTTCTTCCAGGAAGGGGGAGGTTGGGCTGAGGATCCTAGCCCTGCTGGAATGTTGCCCCAACCCAGGCCTTGGCCCCTTTGGCCCTGCTGCCCCCTCCTGCTCCCGGGGCCCAGCCGGGGCCTGCCAGCTGCCCCAGTGCCCAGAGCTGGCTGACTGAAACCTAGAAGAATGTGTGGAACTCACTTCGTGGGGAGCCGCCAGCCTCACTGCTGGCCTTGGGTTGGGTCCGTGTCAATAGTGGCCTTGGGAGGGAGGGGCTTGTGGCTGTTGGGGGTGGCTGGGCTAGGAGCAGCATCACCAAAGCCCCAAAGCCCTGGGAACAAGGTGGCTCTTTGAGGCCTGGGAATGTGGGGCCTTCAAGTGTCAGCTGCCCCCAGAACCCCCCCTCCCCTGTTTTCCCTATGCCCGCCTGCGCCAGGGTTGCAGGGACCTTAGAGCATCCCTATGGCATCCCTGAGGTGTCCTTAGGACAGCTCCTGGCTACCTACCAGAGTCCTTTCCCTGAGGCACAGAGGAGGGCACCCTGTTTCTCTGTTGCTCTGGATTTTTAGAGGGGGGCATCTGGTGCACAAAGGCCCGCAGTGTGTGGTGAATGAATGAATGGACCAGTGATGGATGTGATTAAACATTCCACAAACTGGAGTGTTAGGTGCGTGTTAGACGTAAAATTCATTCAACAGGTATTTATTGAATATCTTCTAAGTGCCTGACCTTGTTCTAGGTGCTGAGGTCATGGCAGGGAACAAGTCAGGCTCCCTCCCCTCACATCACTTGCATTAGAGCTAGTGCGGGAGGACGGTATGTCGGTATGTCGGGAGGACGGTATGTCAGAGAGCCGTAAGTGCTCACGAGGAGAGATAAAGCGGGCAGGAGAGTGGGGACAGTGATGAGGTGGGATGAGGCAGTCAGGAAAAGCCTCTGAGAAGATGATACTTGAACGGAAGCATCTGAAGAAGTGAGGGTGTGAGCCCTACAGATGCCTGGGGGGGACAGGGCACTCCAAGCAGAGGGAACCAGCTAGTGCAAGGGCCCAGGGGTGTCCGGCATATCCGCGGAAAACAAGGAGGCCCGTGTGTTTGGAGCAGGGTGAGTGAGGGGGGAGCATGGTCCAAGTGCTGCGCCTTGGCCATGGGAAGGTCTTTGGATTTGCTTCTGAGTGAGATAAGAGGTCACTATAGTTGCTGTGCAGAGAAGAGGATGTGGAAGGTCAAGGGCAAAAGCAAGCAAGCTGAGAGATCCCGGCCCGAGACAAGGGGAACTCATACCAGGGCGAGGGAGGTGGGAAGAAGCAGTTGATTCCTGAAGATATTTTGAAGTTAGGACTGACGGAATTTGCGGATGGGTCGATCGGGTATGGGGTGGGACAGAAAGAGAGGAGTCAGGGAAGTCTCCACGGTTTGTGACATGAGCATCCGGAAGGGTGGAGCAGACGCTAATTAAGTTGGAAAAATTCCGGGAAGTGTTGGAGGGGGAGGCCTAGGGATGGGGGCAGCATTGGACCAAGCCGGGGCCTCTACACTGGCCTGTGAAGTGGGTGCGAGGCGGGGGGTCTTGCCAAATGTGCATCTAAGGAGCTGCAGGCACTGGCCCCTGAGGACCCCACAGCCTGAGCTCATGCTTAGGTGCTTATGTGTTATTTAGAACGTACTGTCTTCCCCCTAGTGTAGCAGGGAAGCTCCACGAGGACATGGACTCAGAATTTTGTTCATTGCAGTTTGCCTGGTGCTAGGCAACAGTAGGTGAACATTTATCAAGTGAATATATTAATGGTCTTGGAGAAGCCAGCAGGCCAAGAAAGCCCGGGCTCCTTGCTGAGGATTGAGAAGGGGCTGCTTTGGTCCCAGCCACTGCTCTCTGCGGAGACCTGGAGAATGTGGCATAAGCCGGGGCGCCCACACTGCTGTCTTCCACTTGTCTGTTTCCTCACTGGACTCAGAGCCCTTTCTCGGGCACTGTGATCAAGGGAAAGTGTGAGCTCAAAGGGCCCTGCCTTCACGTCTTAGCGCGGCCCCAACTGGCCATGTGACCTTGGGCAAGTTGCTCTGTGTCTCTGAGCCTCAGTTATAAATAGGGATCATGATGCCCATTTCCCGGTGGACTGTGAGACCCTGCAGGTGCACCTCGTTCAGTGTGTGAAATGTAATAGGTGTTTGAAAAGTGGTGGCTGTTCTGTGAGAACTGTTCCTGCTGAGGGCAAGGCCAGAGTGATAAATTTGACTAAGGGTCCCGAGGGCCCAGCACCGCACGCCTTCTCCTGATCAAAACTGCTGCAAACCACTGCCCCGGGCCCCGCGCTGGGCTTGTGGAGTGAATGACCGGGCAGAAGAAAGCCGTCGCTTCTCTCTCGCGCAGTCCGAGTGCGCTGGATGTAACTGCATCTGATCTGTCACTGCCCCCTGCCCCCACTGCGCCCACAGCTGCAGGACAGAGTCCACCCTTCCACTCTGATTGCTCCTTCCTGGTGGGGGAGCAGGAGGGGGGCACACCCCAGGGTGTGGCCTGGGAAAGGCTGAAGCCTGTGGACGCGCTGTCCCCTTCCCAGATGTGTGCCGTTGGTGGGCTCTGAGCAACAAGAGGCGTGGCCAAGTAGCTCCCACGGGGGCAGAAAGGATGTTCCCGCATCTTAACAGATATGGCGCGGGGGCTTCCTGGGACCCCATCCCAGCCCCGTCGTCCTTCAGGCCCGCACTGGAGGAGATAAGACCTTGTCCAGGGAGGTCCCGAGGGAGCCTATAGCAGGTCAGTTGCCAGGATTGGTGGGGCTGCACAGCTCTTTACTCTGACCCCTGTGGGCTCACAGAGAAGCAGCGGGATGAAGGGAAAGAGATACACGAGTGCCTGGTGACCCGTGTCTCCACCCTGTGCCTTGGGCTTGGGCTGCTGGGTAGAGACCTGCCCCTTCCCCCACGAGGGTGTGTCGTGTCCAGGTGTTTGCTTTTTTCGCATCTGGCCTCTCTTTCCCCATCTTTCCCCCAGTCCCAGTCTGTGGGGAGGGGGAGGTGGCCTGGGGCTTGGCAGGGGGAGGGCTTCAGAGGTGGCCTTGGGTGACCTCACAGATGGTCTCCTGGCGTGGGGCTGGGAATTCCCAGCTGCCTCTGGCCCCTTCCCAACCCACTGCCGGGTCCCTGACCCCACCTCTCCCTTCCCTGCCTTCCCCTACTCACCCCCAAGGAGCTGGCTCTGGCCCCCACCTCCTGCTGCTGCTGGCCTCCCCTCCTCACCCCAGCTGACTCATCCCCTCTCCTTGTTTGGCGGTTCCAGTTTTCAAATAGTTGGGAACTGGGATCATGCCTCTTCTTGGATGCCTCGCTGGGCTGGATGGATTGAAATACTGGCTTCATAAATCCTGGCCACAGTGGCCTCTGTCACTTCACAGACTCTTCCCCCTCTCCTGCTGTTTGCCTTCCTGTGACCCTTGGGCCAGAAGAACAGAGACCTAGGAGTTTCCTGAGGACAGACTAGTGTCTTCTCTGCCCTGGGACCTCCAGGGTCTCCTCCCCAGTGACCTCAGTCACCTAGACCGTCAGCCAATGCTCAGCGAGCACGCACACCTTCTCTCTTTTTTTTTTTTTTAAAGATTTTATTTATTTATTTGACAGAGAGAGACGCAGCGAGAGAGGGAACATAAGCAGGGGGAGTGGGAGAGGGAGAAGCAGGCTTCCTGTGGAGCAGGGAGCCCGATGCGGGGCTCAGTCCTAGGACCCTGGGACCATGACCTGAGCCGAAGACAGACGCTTAACGACTGAGCCACCCAGGCGCCCCACGCCTTCTCTTGATTAAAAACCACCACCCTATCTGGAGCCAAACCCCACACGGGGCTCTCTCCCAGCAAGCATTATTGCATATAATCCTCCCAGAAATCTCAAGGTTGACATTATTATCTCCATTTTGCAGAGGGGGAAACTGAGGCACAGCAGGGGCATGGCTGGCCCAATTCATCCCTCTTATATGTGGCACAGCTGGGAGTGGGGCCCACGTTGTCTGCCTCCAAAGCTGTCATCCCTCCCTCTGTGGATCCAGCCTGTTGGGTGTAGAGAGAGGGCAGTCAGGCAGGGCTGGCATAGTTGGGACAGGCTACACAGAGGAGGCAGACTGGGCTGGCCTCAGCAGAGGGTACAGGAAAAAGCTGCACATCTGCCGTGTGGGCTTATCTCGTTCCTATTACGCAGGCTTGGATGCCTTTTGCCCCTTGGCCTCCAACCCAACTTAGTGATAACGTTCCCCCGGGTGGATGGATTTGGCTTTCCCTGGGACTGAGACCCTTGGGAACCTGGATCCTTCTCAGTCAGGTCCCAAGCTCCCTGTGGGACCTGCAGGTTTTGCCATTTGGAGTTAGTGAATTTTTGCCTAATGGGGCCTGCTTGGAGCCGGCCGTGTGCCCACCTCCATCACAGGGACCTGGGTGAAATACAAGGCACAGAACCATGTGGCCCAGCTGGAAGGTGTAATCTACATTTAAGTCCCAAACTGTGTCATTTGAGCATCCCTCTGCAGTGGAAGAGTCAGGAATTTTCCCATTCATTCATTCATTGCCTGAGGACCTACTGTCTGCTAGCCATCGAGCTAGGTGTTTTATCAGCATTGTCAACTCTCCCGTGTAGTTGGGAGTATACCCCCATTTCCCATGAGAAGCAGCTCAGTGGAGAGCCGTGACTTGCCCAAGATCACAGAGCCAGGTGCAGAGGAAGGTAGGAGCTGAATCCACATCTGTCAGTCCTCCTGGGAGAAATGAGAGGCAGGGTCTGTCCTCTCAGGACCCTCTGGGTCCTGGATCCATGAACCATAAGCACCCAGTGCAACTCAAAGTGCAGACAGGAGAAGATTGTCAGGGACGGAAAAGATCGATTTGGCATGAGGTACCTGGAAGACTTTGTGGAGGCAGCGAACCCTAAAGAGCGTAGAGGATTTGGCTGGTGGAGGAGGAAGGCATCCGGGGCAGGGGGCCAGAAGTCATCGGTCCCCATTGTCCGTAGATTCACATTGTTGTCAAGTGTGTGGGCAGGAAGGCCCAGGCCTGCTGCTGGAGTCATTAACACGGGGAAAAGAATGGGAGGAAGCCACCAAGATAGCTGAGGTGACATCCATCCCGGTCCCCCACCCTTTACCTGGCCAGACCAGGAGGCAGGAGGTCAAGGCCCAGGCTGCCACTCAGTTGCCAGCCAACTGCTGACCCTCCCTCCTGGGCCTTGATTTTTCTACCCACAAAATGGACTCCTTTCTTTCTCTCTGGTCCCCTGCCGACCCAGAGGGACGGAATGTTGAGTTCTTGGTGAAAACTCCTGGCTTCCTCTCAGGGGCTGGTGCTACACCATTCTTCAGAGCCTACCATGTGACCAATCCCACGTCTTCCTTCACTGACGCTACCAGCCCACAGGTGCCAGGCCCTGAAAGAGGCAACCAGATGGAGGGGCTGCCTGCTCCCTTACACCTAACCTGCCCTTGCCTGCACGCCTGGGATCCCCCCCGCAGTGGTCTGCCCACATGGGTCTCCCTCTGTGCCCCTCGGGGACCTGCAGCTGAGCGAACAGCTGGGGTGCTGTCAATGTGTAGTGAATGAGCATTAGATTCCGGGTCACGAGATTCCTGTACTCCCCCTGGCCCTGCCTGTGTGATCCAGGACAAGTCGTCTGACTTCTCTGAGCTTCATTTCCCCCAGAGGCAAGATGGGGCCATTCATTCATTCAGCAAACATTCATGGAGTGCCAGCCCTAGACCGGGGCCCTGTGTTAGGAATAAACCAGCGCGGGGGAGGGGGGGTTGATGGAGCTTTATAGTCTCAGGGGGAGGCCAGCTGGGTGGTGGACTAGTCAATACAAGGTGTGGGGGCAGGGGGAGAGGTTTTCTGGGCCACTCGCGGCCTCCGTGAGAAAATCTGGAGTCTTTGTGACTTCGTCTAAGCCCCCATTTGTTAATAGTTACTTCACAGTCTATTCTCGTCGTGGAAGGAGGGGACCTGGGGGCACAGGCCCCCTGGGCTAGGGCAGGAGAGAAGACCCACAGGGCTGGAGAAGGGAGCAGGCCAGTTTCGTTGGGAGTCTCAGATGAGCTCATGGGTGTGGAAAATCACAGGGGCTATTTATGCTGAGCCTGATTATTTTAATTTAGAAGAAATGGAAGCTGCACGCAGAGTTCAGGTTTGGGGCTCTGTGACGTTGAGTTGAACGAAGAGGGTGGGCCCGAAGCTCCTGTTTTCCTCTTTCCTCTCTCCCCACTCCTCTGGGGGAGGGGGTAGAGACCAGCCCTGGCCTGGCTTTGATTTCGGGAAGTGGAGGAAAGGGTTAAGTCAGCCTGGGTTTCCACCTTGGAGTGGGGGGGGAGGTGGGGAGCCAGGAAGGGAAGGCTGGGGCAGGAATGTGTGATAAGATCAAAGCTTTCAGCCTGCCCGGGCCTCACCTTGGTTTCACCTGAGCAACTGAAGGGAATTCTCTTCTCTGGGAGCAGGATGGAGAACTCCTGGGGGAGGGGGTTGCAGGTCCCACCCTCCTCCCTTGGGCGCTCCAAAAGAGGTCCCACCCCACCCCCATCTTCCAGAGGCTCAGCTCTTGCCCTGACAGATGCTGGAAGCCCCAGGGACCACCTTTACTTGGTACATCCAGATTGGGGGGAGGGGTGCCCTCCTTACCACCCCCACCCCGACAGCTCTCTCACCCCTGGGGCTTCTGGCCAGGACTCAGGGGGCTCATTCGGTGGCCTCTTAGCCCCCCGTCCGTTAATTCTGCTCCATTGAACTCTGCAGGTTGTACTTTGGGATAGTGTCATGGGCAGGAGGCACAGCCGTGAATTTTGTCCTAATTCCATCACTTACTGCTCTGTGATGCTGGGCTGGTGGCTTAACCTCTCTGAACCTCATCTGTCAGCTGGGAATGGTAATACCTTCTTGGTGGGATTTGGGGGGAAGATTAGAGATCATATCAATCTGCAGCCAGAGGAGACAGTCGACAAAGAACAGGAGCCATTATTTTGTGATTTTCTTTTCCCCCCTCTGAGGATTGCCTCTGGTACTTGGTCCTAGGTAAACCTGGAAGCTCCGTTTTGTTCTGCACCCTCCTCCCCCCGCCCTTTGAGAAGGCCCCAAGCCCCAGGGTCCATTCTTCTGTCCAGCGCTCTTCGCTTACGGGGTCTTCGCAGTGTTGAGAGGGGAGCAGGGCAGGACAGGTTGTGAGGGAATAGAGAGCTTGGGCTCTTGTAAATGCCCCCAAGGCACCAGCCTGGCCACCTGCCCTAGTGATACCTTGAGCTTTCCTGGCCAGCCCGAGTAAACCAGGTGGTCCAGGCCACCCCCTGGAGTACCAGGCTGCTCAGCACCCCAGCCACCGCCGGGACTCCTGCCTCAGCTCTCTGCCTTCGCTCTGCCACAGTTAATGATTATTCTGGGCAGCAGGGGCAGGGAGGCCCGCCCTCGAAGCTCCTTAACCACTGGTTGCACCCAAGGTATGTTAGCAAGAGGCATGGGTGTTCCCTGCTTTAATGTGGCAGTCCAGTTCTGAGGCACATGGCAGGGGGTGGGGAGCGGGTGGGAGGGTCTTGGAGTCATAGATTGACAGGCCAGCCTGTGGCCCTGGGGCCCTGAGGCCAGACTTAGGGCCCATAGGATCTGGGTGAAATATGAGCTAGGCATAATAGGCCCCTGTGGTTTGGTGCCAGCCATGTGAGCAGACCCTACAGTCATACACCAGGTGAGCAAGCTCGTCCGCCCCCGCCCCCAGCCCAGAAGAACCCCTGTGCTCCTCCTCACCCGGGCTCAGACCCTGCCGGGGAGTCCCGGCTGGAAGGCGGTGTGAGGGTTAGGGCTTTGGAGCCGCTGGGCTCGGCTTCTCACCCCCACTCTGGCTGACACTTCTGGCTGTGTGACCAAGTCACTTCACCTTTCTGAGCACCCATTTCCTCATCTGAAACGAGAGAATACTAATCTCTACTTTGCAGGTGTCAGCAGGAGCAAGGTGCAGAAAGTATGTAGCTCACAGTTAATACCCGGGAATGGAAGAAATTATTACTGTTATAGTTTTTATTAGGAGAAAGTGAAAGTGAATCCTAGTCTTGGGTAAAACCAGGGCAGCGGTGGCCCATGGGTGTTGGGCCTGTGGCTGGGGGATTTGGGAGGAGGTGGGGCATGGGGAGATCCCAAGAACATGCTTGAAGAGGGCATGTATGAGAAGGCTGGCTGGCTGGAGAGAACAGGGCTTTGGCAGGCTCTCTGGGTCTCCTCCAGGCCCCCTCGGTGCCACCCCCCAGCTCCCTGTGCCCCCCTCCCCCCCCCGGGGCTGGGTCCTGAGGTTGGTGCAGGCTAAGTGGGGGAGGAGGGAGGATTGTTTATTTTGATAACATTAGGGCATATTCCCCCACTGGCAGCTGCTATTTTGAGAGCCCCGGAGAGCAGGGGCTATGGTTAAATTAGGTAATGTTGCTCCAGAAGGAATGTGTGAAGCCGTGGGGCTGAGGCCGCAGTGACAGGACAGTGGGTTTGCTTCATATAAAATTAACTGCAACTTGGAGAAGAGCTGCTCAGGTCACTTTATAAGGCGATGGAAGGGGGAGGCCGCTGGGGGAGTGGAGGTGATGGCCCAGGGCCTCGTCTGGGGGAGCCTGGGCCCCTGCCCAGAGCCCTGGCTGGCCCAGCAGGGGCTGGTGATGTGGCGGAGGGGCAGGGCTGCTGTGTCCTCAGCTCTGTGCCTCTGGCTCGAGGCGGGTGGGGCCCGGGGTGGCGTGATGCTTGGGTAGGATGGATCCGCAGACTTGGCCCCGAATACTGCTTCTGTGTCCTTCTAGACTTCTGTGCTTGGGCAAGTCACTCAACCTCAGTGAACCTCAGTATTATCAGTGGCGAAAATGGTTCCAACCCCCTGGGGATGTTTCTTAAGGATTAAAGCTCCAGAAGAAAAAGCAGAGCTAACTTTTATTATAACCTATGCAAGGTGGTGTTCTGACTCCAAGGATGGTCCATGCACCAGACGCTGGGGCCTCACCCAAACCTCCTGAATCGCCCGGGTGTGCTAGCAGTATCCCCAAGAGATCTCCTAGGAGACACATAATAAAGGTGGTCTCATTTTATCTTGAAAACCACCCTCGTGATGTGGGGATTACTGTCATCTGTTGTGAACACTGAGGCGTGGAGAGATGACCAGCATAGAAGCTCCATCCGTGTTCATTCTCTTTCCCAATTCTGCCCTTTCTGCCCCTCTTTTGGGCAGGGCTAGGGCTGGGGAGAAGTATGTCAAAGTTCCTGGCAGGACTGGAGAAAATCAAGAGTATCTCCTGCCCTCTCTCTCTTTCTCTCGCTGACAAATAAATAAAACTTAAAAAAAAAAGAAAAATAGAGTATCTCCTGCCTTTGAGATTTAATCAGACTTTCTTTTTTTTTTAAGATTTATTTATTTATTTGAAAGAGAGAGAGAAAGAGAGAGCACAAGCAGGGCAAGAGGGAGAAGCAGGCTCCCCCACCGAGCGGGGAGCTCGATGCGGGGGTGGATCCCAGGAGCCTGGGATCGTGACCTGAGCCGAAGGCAGACGCCCAACCGACTGAGCTACCCAGGCGCCCCTTAATCAGACTTCCTTATCTCCATGCGCCATTGGGCTTGGCACAGCTAGACAGAGGTCGTTCCAAAGTCATTCCATACTTCCCATCCTTGGAGAAAGATGGGGCAGGAAAGAGGTTCTCTACGATGTGCCCTGGGATACAGACAGTGGTCACTGCCCGACAGGTCAGGGGATCAGAGCAGGGGCTGCCCAGGATCACCCTGTGCATCACGGGTACATTTGAGACTGAGTTTATCTAGCAGCGAATATTTTGAGGAACACTTACTGTGTACCCAGCCCTGGGGAAGTATCCTAAATTTCCCCCCCATTCTGCAGACTCTTTATTATCCGGAAATAAAAATGTTCCTACTTATTACCACATGCCACACACTTGCATTCTCTCTTTCATCTATTAAATTCCACTTCCTGTTTCTTCCTCTTCTATAAAATGGGGATCGTAATAATCATACCTAGCTTATGGGGTTGTTATGAAGATAATATCTGTCAAGTGCCTGGGACATAGTATTTGTTAAATACATATAATAAGTACAAATAATCTCCCAACAAAGCAGGTACTATTACTGCCTTCCATTTTACAGATGTGCAAATGGAGGTCCAGAGTAAGAAGGGGACTCGCCTGTTGGGATCACAGAACATGAGGGCAGAGCCATAAGAAATTGAGTCCGTAGACTTCTAAGTGACTAGTATAATTCAACTCATTTTGGTAAATGTTTATTATCCACTAGTTGCTGCTCAGCACTGGGACATCTCTAAAAGTTAAAATAGATATAAAAGGTGGGAAAACCCATCCTGGTGTTTGTCCCCAAGGAGCTTTGATTCCAGCAGGAGAGTAGAGACATTTACTCAAGTGGCTATAATTAAGACCAAATCCCTAGTCCTGTAAAAGGTATAAATTAAGTCCTGGGGGTGGGGGGATGTGTGGGGGAGAAAGATGTCTTTGGGGGGCGGTCCCAGAAGACTTCAGAGTGGAGGTGGTGATTTAGCCAGGCCTTGAAGGACAGATGAGTAGATCAGGTTGGGAGGCATAGGAACAGCATTCTAGGAGGAGGGAACAGCCTTCATGAAGGCCTGGAGGCAAGAAATGTGCCCTGTGAGAGGGAGTGACATTCAGGGGCCAGGGGCTGCATGGGGTCTGCAGTGATGAGGCCGGGAAGGCCAAGTCCAGCTTTCTTGTCATTGAAGATTTCCAGTTTTCTCAAAAATTGGCTCCTCAACCAGTCGGGATTATTCCATCATCGTTTTGCCTTTTCTTCATGTCAAGAAATCAAAGATTTTTATAAATGGCCTGTCTGAGCTTCTGGTCAACGTGTGGTAACAGGCGGAGCTGACAGAATTCAGGCCAAAAGCAAGAGACTTGATGTCCTGATTAACTGGGCAGCCTTATCGCCCACACATGTACAATTTCCGTGAGTCTTTTCCAGCATTGACAATGACCCTGGGTGGGGAACACAGTGGAAGGGCCAGGCTGGGTTCTGATTTCCCCTCTGCGGCTTACCAACTGTGTGGCCTTCGGCAAGCCTCAGTTTCCTCCTTTGTAGAGTGGAGACAGCTCCCTCTAGGCTTGCTTTGAAGGATTGGTGATGGGGTAATCTGCACTGCCCAGTATGATGGCTCTAGCCACATGTGACTGCTTAGTAAATCTAAGATTTAACTAAATAAAGTAAAATTGAAGTTTACAATAAAAAATTTCTTTTCTCCATTGCCTCAGCCACATTTCAAGTGCTCAGTAGCCACAGGCGGCTAGTGGCTACCTCATGGGACAGGGTAAAACAGAACATTTCCATCACTGCACAGAGTTCTACTGGGTGGCCCTACACACCCAGCAAGGGTGGCTGTTGTCATTGTTACTGGTTCCCCGTCCCAGTTTGGAGACCCCCAGTTTGGAGACCCGTGAGCCTTGACGGAGGTGGACAAGATTTTCCCTCTGTGCCTTCCCCACTTTCTCCTCAGCCCCCGGGGAGCTCTCCCTCCCCTGACTCCACCCATGTTAAAAAAAGGCTCCCTTTCCCCCTTAATTTCCCACCCACTCCCCTCAGCTGTCTCTGCAGATCTGCCCATTCAGCTGCTGGCATCTGGAATCTCCACGTCCAGTCTCCGAGATTCCCAGGGCCCATTCCGAGGGCAGGGAGGTGAGGGAGGAGGCCTCCCCTGGCAGTCCCCTGCTCCCAGCCGAGGTGCCTGGGCCCCTCTCGGCAGGATGAAGATGATGGTTTGTTGTGACGGAGGCAGTGGGCAGCCTGCCCGCTCTAACACTCCCGTATCTGGGCGCCAAGCATGTTGTTTGCACTTGGCCGGGCCTCAGGGTCTGGCCCTGTGCCCTCGAGGGCGGCCTAATTTGGCACCCCTGGTTATGAAGGCCGATCGTGGGCCTCTGCCTGGTCAGGACAACCAGGAGCTCTTCCTGGGCCGGGTCCTGGGGATGAAGGGCATGTCTGGAGCTGGAGTGCAGGACAGATTCTCAGCTGTGACCGGGCCCCGGGCGCTGAGTGGGGACAAGGCCCGGGCCGGCACAGGCAGGATGGACAATCTTAGGGGCCAGGCAGGAGGTCACCCTGGGCAGTTCGAGTTGGTAGGGTCTACACGCGGCATTCACACCTGTCTGGGGAGGAGCATTGGGTCTGAGATGCCGAAGAAGCTCAGGGTCACCTCTGAGCATCATGTTCAGTTCTCCCCCTCCCTCATTAGCTGGGAGGTGGACAAACAGGCATCTGAGGCCCACGAGTGCTGAGGCCATTGAGGCCCAGCAAGGAGGCATGACGCCTGACATCACACAGCCAGTCTGGAGAAGTCGGAACTCCGACTCGGACACTTTAGGAGCTTTTCCCCTTCCTGCCCCGCCCCATGGGAGCTCTGGGGACAGTAGCCCCTGGATATCTTGCTGGGAAAGACAGTTGGAATCCTGGCCCTGCCACTTTTTCTGTGACCTTGGGCCAGCCTCTCTGAGCCTCCTGGGCCTCATCCAGGGGCTGGGGATAATAATTATACCTCATTCTCGGGGCAGTTGTGAGGGTTAGGTCACTGGCCTCCTGGCTGTTTTCAGAACATTCTAAGGATACTCCTGCCCTGGGGCCTATACAGCCGCTATTCCCTGTTCCCTGAGTGCCCTTCCACTGTGCCCTGGCTTCTGTCACATCGCCGTCCCCTTCCCTAACCGGCTCGTGTCAAATAGCAGGCCTCGCTGCGGCAGTCCCCTGTCCGGCTCACCCTGCTGCATTTTTCTTCATAGCACTCTTGCCATTTGACAAATACTAGTTTATGGTCCCGTTGATTCCCAAGCCGAGTGTCACCTCCGTGAGGGCAGAAGGCGCATGTGGCGCATGATACCTGTGCACGTAACAGTCACTGGTTATCTTGCCTTCTCTTCCTGGTCCTTCTGATCGCCGCCATTTATCGGGCCCTGGCTCTGCGCCAGGCCCTGTGCTTGGCAACTCACCCTCAGCTCCGCGAATCTCACTGGGTGCCCGTCACAGCTTTGTCACTCGTCAGAGACGGGCGGCAGGAGGTGCTCGGTGACTTGCCCAAAGCTCGCCAGCTGGAAGATGGCAGCGCCGGGCTTCCAGCCGGCTTAGTCCTGCCCCAAAGCTCCCTCTGCACCACTTCCTGTGTTGAGGTAATGAGATCAGAACTTTGACCCAGATTTGGAGTTCAGAATCTACACTTGACATGAGTGAATGGATCAGATTTATGGGTGGTTCTCAGTCTTTTGGGGGTGCCCCTTCCAGCCTTTTCTTCTCCTGCCCCAGAATGACAGGTACCCTTTGGCTGGGGAGCCCCAGGGGTCAACTGGCCACCCCAGGGGTGGGGTAGGGACCCCAGGGTGGGCCCAGGTCCTGGGCTGTCCCTTGGCTGTCCGGAGGCAACTGGACAGGATGTTCCTGCGGGCGGCAGACATTCCTGGTCGGAGGTGGCAGGCCGTGGGAGATTTACCATTTCCGGTAACCCGAGTCCCTGAGAGATTGGAGTTCTCCCTGCCAAGGACGTGCACCCTTGGCTTGCCAACCCTTCCTGCCCTTTCCTCAGCCTTGGTCTGCCTGGGGCTTTTAGGACCTGCTGGAGGGACCAGCCGTAAGTCCCAGAGTTGAGATGGGGGTCTCAGGCCCTGATCAGCCCCTGAACAAAGACCGAGCCTGATGCCGCCCTTCCGGAGCCCTCTTCTGTGGAGCCCCACACCCCAGGCTTGAGGAAGGAGGGGAAGGAGGTGACATGATGGAAGGAGAAGGGCCCTGTGTTAGGAGCCAGAGACCTGGGTCCTGGGTCTGCCTCTGCCATCAACTTGCTAGGATTTCTCTTCTTGGAGCCCCCCGCATCCTATCTGAGTACCCAGCACTATTCCAAGTACTCTGCATACACCAGCCATCTTATCCTTATAGCAACACTTGGGGGGCGGGGCAGGATCACTAAAATGAAGCTCAAAGGGGGAAGGTCACCCAATGGGCAGTGTCACAGAATGGGATTTGAACTCAGGCTCTTCAGCACTAGCTGGTCTTCCCTGATGTCCTTCCTTCCCGTCTCTGAGCTCTTTTTTGGCTTCCCCTTCTGACAAGTGAGGGCTTTGGGTTAGGTGATCCCTCCCATCCCTGGCAGCACGGGACCCAGGAATCTGTTGGAAGGCTTCCCAGGCAGGTTTCACTTGAGCCTTACCTCGCCTGGAGGGGGTGGGGGAAGCATTGCAGGAATTATTCTTCCCCAGGGGTTTCTGGAGAGCTCACTCTCTGGGCCTGTGAGCTCTTGGATGGGGACGTGGGGGTGGGAGGGGCGGAAAGGCAGGAAGTGACAGGTTGTCCTGTTAAATCTTCACAGCAGTCTTGTAAGGTGATCATTTTTATTCCTGTTTTATAGATTGGGAAACAGAGGCTCAGAGGGGTCAAGTGATTTGCCCAGGGCTACACAGCTCGGAAGTTGCCAGGCTAGGGCGTCCAGTTAGCTCCAAGTGGTGTGGAGTGGCGTGTGACCAACCCACATTTCCTAGGATGGCTTTGATTTATTAAGAAAAATACTAGTCTTCCTGAAAACCATGAACATGCCCCAGGCTTTGAATACCTGTGCATCCAAACTACATCTCCCAGGCTGCCTCTGATACCTGGAAGCGGCCCAGGGATCCTTTGTTAAACTGTTTCTCCACATACGCCTCGGAAAATATGGCCAGGCGTAATTATAGGGATGCAAGAGTTCAGAGGAGTGAGAGCTGCGTGGGCTGGAATGAACTGGAAAGGGTTGGCACTGTGCTGGGAGCAGGACTGTGGGGCGAAGAGGGGCCTGGGGTGGAGCCAGGCAAGGCCAGGTTCGCAGGCTCCAAGAAAGCTCCTTGAAGGGCCTGCAACCCTGGCCATTTGCCAGGAACACCACGAGGCCTCTCTCGGGACCCCGTGCCCACTTGGCCCTGCCCATCCACCCCTCCCAAAGAGGGTCTCTGGGGCGCCCAGCCTCCAGGCAAGGCTTCTTCGGCCCACAGACCTTTGCTCCATCCCTCCCCCTCCCCCCCCAAACTTCCCCAGGAACTGGGTAAAGGGCTGCAGGAATGAGGCCTGTGTCCTGGCCAGTGGGCCCAGCAGGGCCAGGGACCCTGGGATTTGAGTAGTTGACAGCCTAGGGACTGAGATGACCCCAGCCATTCTGCTCCCACCCCCCTCCTGCTGTGGGGCCCTTGGCCCTGAGGCCCCAGCAGCTGTCAGCAGGGAAGGGTGACAGAGGAGGGCCAGAGGTGACTCTTCAGCCCGTCCCTTCTCCTCCTGCTTGGACCAGGCCCAGAATTCTTACCAGCTGTTGTCAGCAGCTACTGAGCTTTGTTCCAGAGCCACCACTGGGTACCGCCTCCCTCTCGAAGGACATCTTCCCACCGTCGTTCATAGCCACTGCCCCTGGGGAGGGGTTGGGGCTAATATGGGGGACATGGTCACATCCCTGAGTTCCTTTGATTCCACTAACAACACGAAGAAATAGGAATTAATGCCCCCGTTTTTATGGAAGAGAAAACAGATCCAGAGAGGCCAAGTGACTTGCTTGAAATCACACAGCTACTGAGTGGCTGAATCTAGACTCCTGGCTCCCGGCTCAGTGTCCACCCCACTGCCTTTCTTCAGAGTGTGTCGTGCAGGATGTTAGAGACTTTGAGGTTCCTGTCACCTTGGCCACTTAGTAGTTTTGGGACCCCGGGCAACCTTTGTTTTTTTTAAGATTTATTTATTTAAGTAATCTCTACACCCAACACGGGGCTTGAACTCACAACCCTGAGACCCCAAGTTGCACACTCCAACGACGATGAGCCAGCCAGGCACTCTTCCAGGCAAACTCCTTAACCACTTGAAGTGGAACTCGCATGTTCTTGCTTATAGAATAAGAATAGGACCTACCTCTTGGGATTGTTGAGCAAATTACATGAGAGAATCAATGTTAAGTACTTAGCCGAAGTCCTGGAGTGTTCTAAGGACCCAAAATGAGATCTGGCAATGTTGTCCTCAGGGAGTATTAGCCACCTGGGCACCCAGCACAGTGGCTGGCTCTACGGGGGTTACAGACACATTCCACAAATATTTATGTCGGGCAATAAATATTTATTCGGTACCTACTGTGTGCCAGGTGCAAGGAAAAGAGCAGTGACAAAATAAACAAAATCCCTGTGCCTGCTTACATTCTATCCCACGCGGTGGCTGGGGAGACACAGCTTCATCTTAACCACAGAAGCCGCCGAGCACTTGTACACACACTGCTGTGTTATCCCCGTTTTCAGATGAGAAAATGGGCTGACACCAGTGGTGGAGCAGAGCCCAGGACCCAGCTCTCCCGAGGGTCTTGGGCAGTGGCCCTGAGGGCTTCCTAGAGGAGGCGGCACTCGTGCTGTGTCCCTCAGGGCCTCAAGGCCTGGCCGGAGAGGTTGGGATGCAGCTACCACAGTCTGGGCAGCAACAATTTCAGGAAGGTCTTGCCTAGGTCAAGGCCTCTTGTTCCGCAGGGAAGAGACCCAGCCAGAGCTTTAAATACCCCATGCAGCCCAGAATAGCCCCCATTGTCTTGGCCTGCAGCTGGGGGACCATGGAGGATGCTGAGGGGAGGCTGATCCTGGAGCAGGAGGACGCCTTCCCTATATGGTAGGGCTGGTGTTTCTGGGAAGACTTTTCCATTTGGCTCCTGCAAGAGAGCCTGCCTGTGGGAAGGGTGGAGCGCTGCCTGGTTCTGCGTGAGCAACGTGCTGGCTGGAGGGGGGGCTCCGTGGGTGGGGGACTCCCAGGGAGAGCTGTGTGCCTGAGTGAAGGTGCTCCTTTGTGCGCCAGGGATGTGCGTGCGTTGGCCCACTGGGTCGTCCACTGTGTGTAGGCCTAGCCATGTCCCCTGCCCGGGGCCTCCTGGCACTCTCTGGTGCTCTGGCTATTTTGGGCACTGGTTGTGTTCAGGTTTGGGGAGGGATGGGTAATCCTGCTCAGGGCCAAGGATGCTGGGGGCACACTCTGGACGGCCATCCCAGCCTCCTGGATCTTTGATGTCTGTAGCCTCTGCCCCTGACTTCAGGCTCAAGGGGTCATGGTCAGTGGACCCCTATGGGATGCCAGCCCCACTGGCAAGGGCAAAGAAGAGCGCCAGACCAAACTTGCCCTTGGGACATTCCCTGCTCTCGGTATCAGGAATAATTGTGCTTCCTCTAAGCAACGGGTTTATTTTGACCTCACTGGGACACGGAGTCCAGGGACTGGTCAGGTTTCCTTCCTCCCATTGGCCACTGGAAAGCTCAGAGCCAAATGAATGGTTGCTTTCCCAGACCTCCAGAATTCAGCACGTACTCTGTCTACTCACCACACTCCAGACTGTCGGTCTGCTTTTGTGAGCTTCTCCTACGTATGTTTAGTTCATTCTCTCCTGCCGTTCCGGGTGCATCTTTGTAAGCTGCTTTGAGCTTTTCTGGAAGAGGGTGGCTGGAGAAGTATAAATAGATGGTGATGATGGTGACCCCATGCTGGGCAGTCCCCTGCAGCCCCATCCTTAAGGCTTGATTCTCACTTTGTGATTCCCTCTGTGACAAGCCCCACCTTCTTTGCTGGTGGAAGTCATAGCCTAGAATTCTAGAAACCTAAGGTTTCAGGATGTCAGTGTCCCAAAATGTCAAAGCCAGAAGGAAGCTTTGGGATCGTTTAAGTTGAGAGCTTTCAAACTTATTGAGCAGCGAAACCCTTATGCCAATCAAAATAATAGTATTTTGCTTAAATCCTGCAATATTTTGATAAATAACAGCACACACAGGACATTCACCATGTGCTAGAGCTATTTGTAGCATTTTACATCTTTACCTAATCCTTACAACAGTCCCATGAGTTAAATACTATTAATATGAACTATCCTGCCCATTTTACAGATGAGGAACTGAGAGGTACAGAGGGGTAAAGTGACCTGCTCTCAGCTAACCAGGGGCTGCCCCGGATGTATTATACAGAAGATCATCATATAAAATGGAGAAGGGTGGATTTGTTTTCACTGAAGCAAGTATTTGGGAGAGGGGGTCTCTATCGGTCCCCCCACCCCCTCACCCACTTTCTGAAGTGGCCCTCAAGGCTGCTGAGACCAGGCTGGAAAGCAGAGATCCTGGCCTACTTCATCATTTGACAGAGGGAACCCGAGGCCTGGAGGGGGAAGGGGCTTGCCCCAGACAGAGGGGTGAGCCAGAAGCCCTTTCACGGTCCCTCCTGGCCCACTTTGCCACGTGGAAGAGCACCAGCAGCTGAACTTCCCCTTAGAACACTCAGCTCGCCGTCTTTCGTGGGCGGAGGGACCCTCTGACCTTCTGCATGGTCCTAGGGGACCAGAAGTGACCAGGCACAGGGCCACCCTCTGTGTGTCCCCTCTGACAGGACTCCCCTCCTGAGAGGGCAGGCTGATGGCCAGGGAGGAAAGGGGCAGCTTCTGTCTGGCTTTTCTCAGACTCTGACAGTGTTTCTCCCTGAGGAGAGAACATAACCCTCCTGTCGCCTGGCCTGCATTTTCTCGGTCAGTCCTTTACTGCCTGGGGTCTTGGGGCTTTCTGTCTTCAAGAGCTCCCTTTTCAAAACCCCTGTGACGGCGGTGGGGTGGTGGTGGCGGCGGTGGGCCGTATCTTACATCCAGAGCCTCACCGAAGGAGAGCTGGCTGGCAGCTAGCCGAGGGAAAGGGGTCGGTTTGGTGTGGGTGCTCCCAGTATGTGCTCTGTGGAACCCTAGTCCCTCCCATGAGGGTTCCAAGTTAAGCAAGTTTGGGAAGCAGTAAATAGTTGCCCCCTTCCCTCACCATGGCGCTCAGGACACTGAGGACTTAGGGAACCAGCTCAGCTTTGTATAACCAGCCTTTCCCAGATGTGTTTGTCTGCAGGACCCCCCCCCCCCCCCGCCGTGTCCAGAGTTCCTGTGCCTTGGAATGGACATTAGTCATGAGGACAGGGGACAGGGGCACTTCAAAAGGAAGGGGCCCTTCCTTTTATTTCCAGCTCTGTTGCCTCCCGCGCCCCACCCCCAGGCCTGTCTTCAGTCATGGGCTCGGCCCTGCTGGCCCCTTCCTCCCCCTCCGGGAAGCAGATGAGGAAAACCCTGGGGGCCAGGGGGAGCTGGCCTCCTTGGCCGCAGAGAGTGGCCGCTCCAGCCTGTTTTTTCCTGTTGCTGATACCCATGGGAGCAAGCAGAGTCGAGTCACCAAGGCCCGGAGGCCTGGCTGCTTGGGGCAAGGCCCTCAAGCTAGAGCCATGGCCCCGCTCGCCTCTGAGCCCCCGCTCACTCCCTGGGATGCTAGCCTGGGCAGGGAGCAGGTCTCCGCTCAGTGACCAAGGGCAGCATCTTGTCCCATCAGAAATGGGCCCCCTGGCTAGAAAGCCTGAGGCGTCAGAGATGACAGGAGGAAGGTTCACGTAGTACAGAGTTCCTGGTTGGGAACCAGGGAGGGCTCTGGCTCCCAGGGTTGGCTCTTCCAGCTCTGTGACTCAGGGCAAGCCGTCTTTCTGGGACTCAGTCTCTTCATTTATAAACTCCGTCCATTCATTAACTTAGAAAGTGTTACCGAGCAGCTACTCTGTGCCAGGTAATTGGAGGTACTGGGGATATGGAAAAAGTCACTGCCTTTGTGGAGCTGATGTTCCAGTGGGGGTGACAGATGATAAACAGACACATATGTAAACACGGGTAGAATGTAGGTGGTGAGGGCGCCTGGGGGGCTCAGTTGGTTAAGCGGCTGCCTTCGGCTCGGGTCATGATCCTGGAGTCCCCGGATCGAGTCCCGCATCGGGCTCCCTGCTCAGCGGGGAGTCTGCTGCTCCCTCTGACCCTCCCCCCTCTCATGTGCTCTCTGTCTCTCTCTCTCATTCTCTCTCTCAAATAAAATAAATAAAATCTTAAAAAAAAAAAGAATGTAGGTGGCGAGATGCTGTGAAGCAGGGCAAGGGAAGTGACAGAGAGCTGACTAATAGACTCTGGACCTGGGATGTGGTCTGCATCTCTGTAAAGGTGACATTTGAACAGAAACAAGAGGAAGAGGAGTGGGCACATCTGGGGGCAGTGTCCCAGGTAGAGGATGCAGCAAGTGCAAAGGCCGTGAGGTGGGAGAGAGTTAGGTGTGTTTGAAAACTATTGAGATAAGTGTGGCAGGGAATGGGGAGAGCACAGCAGGAGATGAGGTTGGAGAGGTATGTGTAGGTGCGTGCGTGTGTGTGTGTGTGTGTGTGTGTAAGCAGGTCACACAGGACCTGCTTACCCATGATAAAGGCATTTCTTCTCATCCTTTGGTGAATCAAGAGTAATGGAAAGGCCTAACCCAGTAGGTTCAGGAGGTGGTCCTTGTTGTAAGTGGTGTCTTATTTCAACGAAAATTTGTGGACCCTTCCCTCCCCCATCCTCCTGTAAGCCTGGCACTGTGCTAGGGGCTTCATTCATGAAATCTGTGGGCATCTCTCTGGATGCCCAGGGAGAAATGGGCCGATGCAACAGGTTGCTGGGGCCTTGAAGGCCCACAGACACTCTAGCACTCCCAGGCAGCAGGGCCTCCTGGGTGCCAGAAAATCTGAGAACCACACCGGGCTGCAGGCAGGAGGCAGGCGCGTGAACACCGTGGGCGTTGTTGGCACCAGCCGTGCTTGGCAGATAATGTTCAAGCCCTGGGGACCTTCTTGCTGGGCGGCCCAGCCTGGAAGCCATTCCCACTTGCTCGCCTCCCCGCCGCACCGCCTTGGCGGTACCTGGCGCTCGGGTGGGGCGGGGGCATTTCCCGGTGACTTCCTGCTGCTTCCCTCTAGGCTGGCAGGCGGCTCAGTCAATGCCAGGGGAGGCCCATTCTTGGGGTGTCTGTGGGGCAGGGACTCTGGGGGGACCGAGGGACTTGGGCTCTGTGACTAGCACCATGACACCAGCATAGTCAAGGGACACTGCTCTTTTTGTGGAAAAGGCCATTCAGGGCTGGTCCCTTGACCGTGCCGGGCACTTTCCCACCTCTGGGCCTAGGCCCGTGCCCTTCCTTCTGCCTGGTACACACACTGTGCCCCTTCTCCACCCTACTTAGGTGAGACCATCTTTCAGATCCAGGCGAAATGTCCTTTCCCCTGGGAAACCTTCCCCAAACTCCCACCTGCCTCAGTCAGGGAGGGGACCCTCCCCTGGGCCCTCCCAGCCCCCGGTCCTTCCTCTGTAGTGCCCTCTCTGCCCTGTGTCCTCACTCGGTGGAATGGTGTGATTGCCTTAGGAACGCAGAGCTCTGTGAGCTCTGTGTCTCTTTACTGCCCAGTTTTATCCCCAGGCCCCAGCACATAGTAGGTGCTTGAGAAATAAAGGTCAAAGCGACTTGAATTGGACCTTATAGGGCAGGTTGGATTGATTATCCTTTTTTTTTTTTTTTTTCCGGGGGTGGAAGCTGAGGCTGCCAAGCTAGGATAAGTGGCCAAGGCGGCCTGGAATCCGGGCTGTCCGAGCAGCATCTGCCCTCCGCCCCACTGGCCACGTCTCCAAGACTCATAACGTGCTCTTGCTTGGGCCGTGGTGGTGGCAGCCCCATTCGGGCGCAACCCCAGCTCCGTGCAGAGAAACCTTGAAGGCAGAGACCGTGTCAGGTCCACCTGGGAAAGGGCCAGGCAGCGTTCCCTGGCCACGCTTTGCAGAGCAGGTCCCCCCTCATTCCACTTGCCTCTCCCAGCAGCCCTGGGCTGAAGGCAAACCAGGCAGGGCGTTCTTGCACCTGTCTCCCCCCCGAGGAGCCTGAGCGTGGAGGGAGTGTTGGCCGTTTCGGCGAGCGTGGTATCCAGGCCCCCTTTTCCCTTGAGACAAAGTGATGCGGCCTCCGTTTTAGTGATGGGGAACTGAGGCAGTGTGGCTCTTGCTGTGGTATCTCGAGCAAGTCCTTACTTTCTCTTTCTGAACCTCACTTTCTGCTTCTATCAGAAGGGCTAATTCCCACCTCGGGGCTGTTGGGCAGGTTCGCCGGCTCATTCATTCGTTCTGTCTGTGTCAGCAGATGTTAATTGAGCACCTGGTATGTGTCTTCTGTCTTGAAGATGCAGCAGTGATCAAAACAGAGGAGCATCCACCCTCCTGCTCCTTCCGTTCACATCAACACAGATAGCTGGTGTGGAGGCCTAGTGCGTTGAGTGGGTACTCACTGCAGTATGCGCTAAAAGGGAAGGGTGTCAAGGGGCTTGTCCAAGGCCACATGGTGAGTTTGGGGCAGAGCTGGGACAAGAGACCTCAGAGCTCCGCGCTCCCGCTTCCCTTGTTCTCTGTTGAAGGCCCTGACCGGCCCTCCGCACCCTTCCGCGGCCCTGGCCGAAATGCAGGCTTTGCAGGTCCCGGGCCTTGGGGTCAGAAGCTGCTGTGCCCCCAAGTTAGCAGAGTACAGAAGAGGGGTCCCTGCTTTCACACTGGATTCCCGCTGCCTTAGCTGTGTGACCTTGGGTAGGTGACTTCACCTCTCTGAGCTTCTTTTCTTATCTGTAAGCTGGGCATGGTGGGCGGTGGGGGAAGAGCCGGTATCTGCTTTACAGGGCTGTGTTTGCACGACATAAGCCCTGTGAAAACCTTATCTTGGCACCTGCGCCCAGGGAGGGCTTGCTGTGCCTCCTGCCATTCTCCTTATTCAGGGGATGGTGGTTCTTCCTGGGCAACGGGCTGGCGAAGGCCCTGCACCTTGGGAGCCTGACTGTGGGAAGCTGGCAGGCCTCCCGAGTGGCACGGGCAGGGTAGGCATGCCAGAAGAGGCTGTGGCCACCTCCTTTCCGGCCCGGCGCCCCTCTTGGCCTGCCAGGGGATTAAAGGCCTTTTGGCCTTTGTGTCGGGCTCACCCGCCCCTGGCAGTTTGCACAACAAAATGCTGCCCTGACAGATTCCTTCCCCTTTGCCGTCTGCTGCCCATAGACAGGGCACTGGGCAGTCTGGGGGTGGGGCAGGGCACCTTGACCCTGTATCTGGGGCCCGGGCTGTCACAGAGCCAGGGAGCACTCGTGGGGTGACCTGGGAGCCTGTATCGTGGCAGAGGGGAGGGGGATCTTCTCCAGGCGTGTGTCCTTCCCTGAAGGTCCGGGGGCCCTGGGTGGGGGGAAGGGACACTGAGGCAGGGCCTGTGTTGGCAGGAGGCAGGTGGGCAGGCAGGGGCTTGCTTGTCCCCCGCCCCCGCACAGTCTCTGGATTTCGACAGGGTGAGCTCACTCCAGCCCAGATGCCTGGAGCCTTGCCCTGGGCAGCTGCAGCCCCCCTGGGGACTGCGGTACTCAGACCTTCCCGCCCAGCTGCGGGGGTAGTGGTGGGCTCAGCCCAGGCCTGGGCCATGGGGAGGGGGCAATGGGCATGCTGCCCAAGTTGAATGTGAATAATGTCTCTGGAGCGGCCCAAAGCCCCCCCTGTCATCCCAGAGTCCGCCTCAGAGCCGGCAGATAACTTGAGCTTCGGCCCCAAGCTGTGTCGTCACCCCCCGGCCTGGGTGCCACCCCGCCAGCCAGCCCAGAGCTTAGGCAGCAGAGTCAGACCCTTCCCTTCACCCCAGACCTGGAGGCCGACCCAGGGCCTGAGCCCACGCCCCGCACTGCCATGCATCACCTCTTGTCCATACCCACCCTCTACTCTGTTCCCCCCCGCATGGTACTAATTCTAACACTTACTGAGCACTTACTGTATACAGGGCATCAGGCCAAGCGCCTTGCATGCCTTCAGTTTCATTTACACGGTGATCCTCTGTGAGCCTCCGTTTGCTCATCTGCCAAATGGAAATAACAATGCACCTGAAACCCTGGGAGTCAGAGGTGCTTTGGAATTCAGAAGTTTCCAGATAGAAGAAAGGTTACGTAGAACACGTAAGAACACTCGGTGGAGTCTGGGGCAACGCCCCATAATGAAACACAATCATATTGCTGCAGCAAAACCTACAACTCCTCACCCCTGAGTGGAGTAAATAGGATGTTAATAGCTTCCTGTCAGTTCAGGTCAGGACTTGGCACCAAACGAGCTTGTTATAAACTCATTTAAAAAAAAGTAAACGCTCTGAGTTTTCAGAGCTCTTTGGATTTCCCTTACTACAGACGAGGAGTAATGGCCCAGCAGTGCTGGCCCTGCCCCGGTTGCTGCGAGGATTCATCGAGGTGGTCCGTGCGGTGCTAAGGATGGGGCCCGGCCGGAGAGAGCCCTCGATGAAGTTGGCCCGCTCCTGTCATCTCCTCCCTGTGCCGCCACCTCCCTTGATTTTAGCAGCACCAGAAACTCTTATCTGCACACGTACCCTTTGCAAGGCCCACGACCCTCACTTAGGAACTCTTTTAAAAAACCCCAGACCCCGTATCCTGTATCTGTAGCTACACCTCCCCCCTCACCCCAGACCTTCTGTGCCCCTCTCTAATGGCTCCACCTTTCACCTCCATGCCGAGTTCTTCCCAGCTAGCCTTAGATCTGTCCACATCCTCAGGCCAGGAGAGGAGGGTCCAGCCTCTGTCCCTTGTCCCAAAGGGTCTCGGTAGGACTTGGGCCCGGAACCTCATGTGCACCCTCATCCCCACCAGGAAGGCCTGGACACAGCCCAGCCTCCTGAGGCTGTCTCCCAGAAGTTCCCCACCTGTCTGGTGTCCCTCCTGTCTGGGTCCCCCCTGCCCCCCGCCCTCCACTGGGGGGGGCCACCGTGCCCACACCCCTGCTCCAAACAATTGTTCCCAGCACACTAGAACAGTCCTTTGGCCTTGGCTTGTATGAGTCAGCTGCTTCCACTTCCCCCACCAGGAACCTGCCAGGTCTGGAAAATCCCCCTCTCTGCTTGGCTCCTTTCCTCTCTGGCCCAGGGCTGCCTTCTGGACCCCTCCTCTCCGGCCCCGCCATCCGGCTCCATTGCCTGCCTGAGTACTGGGTTCCTCTGGGAGGAAGCTGGGCTTTCTCATCGCGCCGGAGATGGGCTGCAGGGCAGGAAACCTGGGTTCTATTTCTGCCTTTGACCTTGGAGCCACCAGCGGCCCTCCTTGGGACATTAGGCACACATTGCATGGGCTCGGGCCGCTGAGCTCAGGTGTCCTGTGGGCCATCCTGGGAGCCGTTTGGGTCGGGGATGGGAACTGGCCAGCCCTGGACATCCTGGCCCTGCCCCCTGCTTAGGCCTCTGAAGGCCAGCCTGGAGGCCCAGGCTCAGCCCTGCCTCTTTCCTGATCAGCAGATGCAGAACCCGGAGGTCCTGGGTCTGTCCTGGCTCTGCCTGCCACTCACCTGGGCAAGTTACGTGGGGAAGCTAGGTGCTATTCCCTCCTCTGTAAAAGGGGGCCTTTCACACCTGCTCAGCCACCTCAGGGGTCATTGTCAAGGTCCAATGACACTGAGATTGAGGAAATGATCTGTAGACTGTGAAACAGCACTGTGGTTGAAAGGTTTTGTGGAGTGACTCTCAGTGACCTCAGTCAGTTCCGGCTCAGTGGCAAAAGCTTAAACATTGGAACCAAACCACCAGAGGTCAAATCCCAGCTCTCACCCACCTGCTAGATCTTCAAGCCGATGACCTGACTGCTCCATGTCCCCATCCCTACAGTGGGCTGTTTAACACCTATAACCTGGGTTAACATTTATAAAAATCCTTAAAGGAGTGCCTGGTGTGTAGTAAGTGCTCAATAAATGTTAGCTCTTTCTGTTCCCAAGTAGACCCCAGACTTTCCAGATCTGAATCCAAGTTCCCTTCTATGGTCAAGTCTCAGGCTCCTTTGGGCTCTTTCCAGTCTGGCTCCTTCTCTCCTCCCAGATGTGAAATACAGCTGCTAGAACCTTTTGATCTTCAGCTTTTCACAAATGAAGTCTCTGCTCTCACAGGGTTGGCCCTCGCTACAGGCCCCGATCTGACCCCAGAGCCTCAGGCCCTGGGGAGGGGGCTGCAAGCAAGGGCAGGCTGGCATGTGGAAGGGCCCATTCCCTGGAGTCCCTGGGGTGGGAGGTCTTCTATCCGGACCCAACATACCCTGGATTCTCTCACTCCTCTCACTGCAGATGTGTGTTCCTGACATTTTTTCCAAGTTGAATCTCACTTTGCTATTTCCTGTCCGGTCCCGACACCCCCCCCCGCCCCCCCCCCCCGCCCCAGCTCCAGGCCTGGGAGAAGCTCTGGACCTTGCTCACCACCAGAGTTTTCCTTTCCAGACAGCAGTGTCTAGGGGATGCTGGGGATCTCTGTGCCCCATGCCTGTCCCCCATGGCCTGGCTTGCATGGAGGGGGTGTGTGGCAGTGACAAAGAGGGAGAGCCCTCCCCAGGTGGGAGGGATCCAAGCCTGCCGCTCTAACCTCTTCTGCCCAGTGTCTGTGCCCCCCTATACCAGTCTTAGCCTCACACTTCCCTTAGGCCAGTCAGGACCTGCTCTGAAGCCCCCCTCCCCCACAGTGGGAACATTGCCCTCTACCCGCAGCCAGGGAAGGAGGGAGAACCCCTCATGGGGATTGATCTTGTGGTTCTTAGCCAGTGAGTTAGAGTTCTCTGCACACCTGCCACTGCATCCCTCCCACCTGGATGAGAAGGGGCCCTGGAATCTATTTCTCACCAGCTCCTGGAGGTTCTATAGTTCATTCCTGGGTACAGACCCTGTGGGCATGGCCCAGAAGTCCACTGGTCACCTAGGAGGGGGATGGGCATTTGTCCAGAGAGAGGGTGGGAAAGGGAAAGGAACAGGAGGAGGGGTGTGCCCCTGCATTGGAGGGGAAGGGGCTTTAGGCCATGGCAGGGGTAAGTCGTGAGCAATGCAGACCTTGCACAAGGCTTGGTAGCACTGCAGACATAAAGGTGATGAAATGGCACCCGGTCCCTGCCCCCAAGTTGCTCCCAGCCTAGGAAGGGAGATTGCATATAGACTGCTTGGGGGCAGGTGGTACCTCCAAAGCAAGTCAGGTTCAGCAAACAGCTAGTATTAATAGGTGATGACATTTTTGACCATTCATTCATTTGTTCATTCAAGTAGTTATTGAACATGGGGTCCCTTCCTTCAGGGTGCTTCCATTCCAGTGGAGATACAGGTGATTAGAGTGTGAGCCCAGGAACGCCCAGAATCCAGCCTGGGCACAGAGGGGACTGTGAAGGCCAAGTGTCAGGACAAAGTCTCCCAAAGGAAATTGTCTTTCTTTTTGTTATTTTTATTTTATTTTATTTTATTTTATTTTATTTTATTTTATTTTATTT